AAAATTTTTTTTGATAAAATGAAATACCAAAAAAAGGCGAGAAAATCCATATCCTTTCCCCCCTTTCGCTACAGCATTGTTCATGCAGAAAAAATTTTGGTGTACATTTTATTAAACTCTAGGCCAGAATGCGCTAGGATTGCCACCGTGCTCCAGTCTAGAGCTGAAAATTTGAGATGATGTTCCCGTCTGCGTACAAAATAAAGGTTTCAAATTTAGTCGTAGTTGTGCGTGATTTTCACGTATGGGTCCATGAATTTTTGGGCAAGAAGATTGCAAGCTCGGTAACCAGAAAAACTGGAAAGATGAAACAGTAGCAGAATTTTCCTGTCCAAGTACCATTTAGTTGCACAGTTAACTCCCTGAATTTCGAGAAGCAAAATTTTACAAATTCTAGCTAGTGGGATTCCAAGATATCTTACTTCAGCAGTACTGCAAGAACAGGTGATAGCGCAGGGTTTATACCGTACATCATATCAATGGGGAAAGAGGAAAGCACGAAGGGTGAAACAAAGGGGCATTACAAGTAACCAATATAATATGAAAGTACGATAGTAGTTTATACACAATTCCCTCCTTAGCATGCAGCAAATGGTGGCATTGAGATATGTATTAACTTTCAACCATTAGATGTATTTTTTGATTTTCAGTACAATATCAATTTGCATGATGTACAAGTAGCTTTTATTCAATGATTTAACTAATATTAAGTACTTCTACATAGTTTATGAGCACACTGTAGCAGTAGTAGAGAAAGGAGTAGTGCTGCTACTCCACTTCGGCTTCTCATATCTGCGCACCGTAGCTTCGCTCTTCCGTTCTGCAAAGGTTCTGTCCAGCAGCGAAAAGAATATAGCCTTTCTTACCCCATCTGCAGATTACGAAATTATCAGTAAGTGTAGCGCAAACGGCAAAGAGAGGAAATCCATTGTACAATCTAGGTGCTCAATTTTAAAAAAAATTTCGTTTTTTTAAAACGCGTCTGAAGATTACCTTTAAAGCATGGCAAATGAAGGTAAAAAAAAAACTGTTTTCTCGCTCACTAAAACATTCCACTTTTTGTTGGAATGGCAATTCCTTCGGGATTTTCCCGAGGGTGATATAAAATTCAACTCGAATTCCTTTCCCCGTAGATAGCAACTAGTAGCAGTCTCAGAATGCACTAAGTTCCTAGCGTTGAAAATATCCAGCATGTCTTTAATACGACAGTGAAGCAGCAACCTGCTGCTCACCGGTTTTTAAAACGTGCATAATATAATGGAAAACTGAATTAGTTGTCAAGATTACCAGGATCAACCGGACAATCAGTGTGGATATCCCATGTTAGCGATTTCAATCACACTTTCCCAAACGCCTAGATTTTCAGATTAATAGCTAAAAAAGTCGGGATGCTGAAATTTTGAAAGGATGTTCCATGCCCATTCATGACTTTGAATAAATAAATTCAGCCCTCACGCATCCTAGGTTTCATGTGCAGACACCTGGGTGCCTATAATTGGGACCTAGGAGTGCATGAGATACACAAATTCCTAAATGTATTCGAAGCGCCAGAGCCAGGATCAAATCTTACGATTTAAACACTGTTGTAAAACTTACGAAGTTCCCCAGCTGTTTTTGATGATGTAATAAGGTTTGTTGCCTTTATAACCAATGCCGACGACGAGCCAACCATGTCCTCCAAGAGTGGAGGCGCATTCCGCCTCTGTTGGCCGATACACTTGCCCACCTTTGTAATGCTTCATTGCCTTTGGAACCATAACCGCTGTAATAAAAAGTTCCTGGACCTATTCAATTACATTACGTTTCCTTGGATTCTATCAATACGAGTTTCTTTTACTTTTCCCTAGCATTAGAAAGACACTACTGATGCCGCACTGCAGCCGTAGGGAGCTTAAA